TTCAAATCCCCAAGTTTATTCATTTTTAAATTATTTGAGAAGGATATACCTACCCCGGGAACACACTATCCCCGGTCTCCCCTACATTTTTATTGAAATTCTATTTTGCATCTTCTTAATATAAATTTTAACCTATTATCGCCAAAATAAAATCAAAAAAGTTAAATTATAACGAATATGATAATTGTCATTTTTCTATGGTACATCTTTATTAAATTTTAATTTTACATCTAATTTTAACCTATTTGCGTCAAAAAAAAGTAAAAAAGTTAAATAAAAACGAATATAACAATTGTCACTTTTCTATGGTACATCTCTATTTAAATTTATATTTTACATCTTAATAATAAAAATTTTAACCTGTATGCTTAAAAAAAATCAAAAAAGTTAAGTAATAACGATTATGACAATTGTCACTTTTCTATGGTACATCTTTATTTAAATTTAAATTTTACATCTTAATAATAAAAATTCTAACCTGTTTGCGTAAAAAAAAATCAAAAAAGTTAAGTAAAACGATTATGACAATTGTCACTTTTCTATGGTACATCTTTATTTAAATTTAAATTTTACATCTTAATAATAAAAATTCTAACCTGTTTGCGTAAAAAAAAATCAAAAAAGTTAAGTAAAACGATTATGACAATTGTCACTTTTCTATGGTACATCTTTATTTAAATTTAAATTAAACATCTTAATAATAAAAATTTTAACCTGTTTGCGTAAAAAAAAATCAAAAAAGTTAAGTAAAACGATTATGACAATTGTCACTTTTCTATGGTACATCTTTATTTAAATTTAAATTTTATATCTTAATAATAAAAATTTTAACCTGTATGCTTAAAAAAAAATCAAAAAAGTTAAGTAATATAATAACGATTATGACAATTGTCACTTTTCTATGGTACATCTTTATTTAAATTTAACTATACATCTTAATATTAAAAATTTTAACCTGTTTGCGTAAAAAAAAATCAAAAAAGTTAAGTAAAACGATTATGACAATTGTCAATTTTTTGTGTTACAAATTACAATACATCTTCAATGAAATTTTAACTTAAATTTTTTTTACAATATTAATTTTTACCCATTTATGTAAAAATAACAATTAGAAAAATTATCACTTTTCTGAATTTAACATTTTATTAATAATATAAATTAAATTTTTACCCTTCTCTAGTAAAACTTTTTTTATAAAATACGATTATGAAAATTGTCGGTGCATCTTTATTGAATTTATATTTTAATTTAACATGCTTAAAAAATAAATAATATTTTTTTCTTTCATCAAGGCAGGAGGAGAGGTATAAAACAAAAGAAATATTATAATAATAAAATTGAAAAACATCTGGGCTTTTAATAAAGGGGTAAAAATAATAAATATCATGAAGATCTTTGAAGATCGTTACACAAAATTTTTAAAAAATAAAAGATTTTCAAATTTTCAAATTTTTTTATAAATAAAAGATCTTCAAATTTTACGATCTATCTTTTTATTTTGAGCAAATGTACAACTTTGTTGGAATAAATTATTACCATGCTTTTATATTAAGGTATATACAATACAAGTAATTTTTTATATTTTTATTTTATATAAACTAACAAAAATATATTTCATATTTGTTCCAGCACCCCCCCCCCCCCTTCTTATAAAAATCCTGGCTACGCCTGTGTATAAATTAATACATAAAAATTTTCTTAGGAATAATTGTATGTTTTGAGCTAATTTTTCAATTATCTATCCTTGCTTTGCGTTAAATGCCTATGAATATTCAAAAGATTCAAATCATTCAATCTACTTTCAGAAGTTGTATTTTATAGGTATGTTTTTCAGAGACTTGCAGACCTGGCCCCCTAGCCGGACCGTATTATAATTTTTTTTTAAAAAACACCCGTGCTGGGCCTAAAAATATTTTTGAAAAAATATCCGGACCGAGCTGTATATTTTAAAACCAAATATTTGAAATATGCCATTATCTATATTATAATTTTCCGATGTCCTCACTACGTCATCGTGACGTCAAATCATCGCTACGTCATGTCAACGGTACGTATTTATTTTTATCAATTCAAAGTTGTAAGTATGAATAAAACTTTTTATATTACTTAATCCTTTCTTTATTTTTTAGATTACCTTATCAATATTCATGTCATATTATCAATTACACATTAATGAAATCTTTTTTATTTGTAAGTATGAATAAAACTTTTTATATTACTTAATCCTTTATATTCATGTCATACTATCAATTACACATTAATGAAATCTTTTTTATAGAATATAATTTACAAATGAGTGGAATTGATGGTGTACACATACCTAATCTTTGAATTGATAAAACATCAAATTTGTAAGTATGAATAAAACTTTTTATATCACTTAATCCTTTCTTTATTTTTTAGATTACCTTATCAATATTCATGTCATATTATCAATTACACATTAATGAAATCTTTTTTATAGAATATAATCTTATGTTATTATTTTTATAAAGTAATATATTTTACCCATAGACTAATTGGTAAATCAGAGATTTCCTCTTCATTAATTATAAAAATGCAAAGATCATATGAAAACTTTTTATTCACTCAATTCTTAATTCAACTTATATTCAAGCAAAAAAATTATACTGGGTTATATGACGTGAAGCCCAGTAAAATCTTCCAAATGCGTTATTCATCTATAAATACTAAAAATGCTTATACTTTTCATTTTAGAATGCATCTATTTTAGCTTCTGATGGATGATATTCCCATTAATGATCAGGTGGTGATTTATCCGTCATTAATAAAAGAAAAAGATGGCAGATCAATCAAAAAAAGAAACGCACTAGGGATAGCGAGGCCCTACAAAATCTACTAACAACTCAAAATATAGTTAGCCTTATATATATATATTTTTTTATACTCTTTTATATTATAGAATGCATCTATTTTAGCTTCTGATGGATGATATTCCCATTAATGATTGTACAGGTGGTGATTTATCCGTCATTAATAAAAGAAAAAGATGGCAGATCAATCAAAAAAAGAAACGCACTAGGGATAGCGAGGCCCTACAAAATCTACTAACAACTCAAAATATAGTTAGCCTTATATATATATTTTTTTTATACTCTTTTATATTATAGAATACATCTATTTTAGCTTCTGATAATGTCCCCACTATTTCTAAGGAGTTGAACCTTATATTGACTCCCCTTCAGGTTCAATGCATTTATATTTTTTAAATTATTCTTTTGTTTTTATTTTAGATAACAAACCCTGTCTTAACCTCATTTAATGATTGTACAGATGGTGATTTATCCGTCATTAATGAAAGAAAAAGATGGCAGGTCAATCAACAAAAGAATAGCTATAGGGATTGTGAATCCCAGCAAAATATACTAACAACACATAATAAAGTTAGTGTATATATATATACTAAAAAGGCATAAATGTTCTTATATTTTTTTATTTTTTAGAATACATCCATTTTTGCTTCTGATGATATTCCCACTATTTCTAGGGAGTTGATCCTAATCTTGACTCCTCTGCAAGTTTAACGCATTCATTTTTTTAAAATTTTTTATTTGTTTTTATTTTAGATAACAAACCCTTCTTTATTTCCTCCTTATAATTGTTTAAATATTGATATATCTACCATTAATAATCAACAAATACAAAATAAATGATCAGAAAAACATGATGGTCTTGACAAGTCCCCAACTAGACAAATTTTATTTTTTGATGATAGCCTCCCAACTACTAGAGATATGCATATATTGACCCCTTTATAGGTTCAGTACAGTATTTTAATGTTCGTTTTATTTCAATAATAATGTTTTATATTTTTGCCTGATTTCCTTATTTTTTTTAGGTTAACCCCAACTTAATCCCTCACATAGCTACAAAACATGATATTTCTATTAAAGATAAGCAAAGAAAAAAATGGCGACTCAACAAACGCCTTACCCGTTCTAGAATTACAGGTATGCAGGATAATAAGGACCTACGCCTGATATTAACTCCCTTGCAGGTTTTTAATGTTTTATATATATAGGTTTATTTTATAATCACCCAGATACCGTCAACTGATATTTCTATAACCACTACCACATTCCCTATGGCACCTCTACCATGCATATTTCGACATATGTTTGATGACCACCACTCACCTATATTAAATATCGGAAATATGACAGAAATATGCGCCTTCTGCAATGCTAAAATGTGGAATGGAGAAAAATTATCAAAAAGCTCATGTAGAAATATTCAGTTTTCTACATGTTGTTTGAATGGGAAGGTAATTTTATTTAAAATTTCCCAATTACCACCAAATTTATTACGTTTATTTACCGGGAATCATTGTTCATCATCCCACTTTTTAACAACATAAGAGCTTATAATTCCGCACTGTCATTCATTTCACTAGGAGTTAATATAAATAATAATTTATCCAATTCGCGACCAGGTAATTATACCTTTCAAATTAATGGACAGGTTCATCATCGCATTGGTTCACTCCTACCAACATTAGGGGAAACACCTAAATTTGCCCAATTATATATACATGATAGTATAAATGAGATAGAAAACAGACATAACCAGGTTCCGTTTTTAGATCGTTACTTTTAATGGAATTGCAGGATATGTTCACACTTACAACCCCTTTGCTTCTCAATTTTTGAGAGTATCTTCTATGATCGCTACTGGCGTTCCTAACATATCCTTAAACTTAAAATCTACTCCAAGTTTTGACGTACTTTATCGCAATAAACCTACCTCATCTGAAATAGCAGTATTATTACCTGGTGATGGCAGTGATCATATAGCCCATAGAGATATTATCTTAAAAACTCTATCTGGTCCTTTAAGACGTATTAACGAGCTCCATTCCCATACGATCCCTTGCAATATGTTCTTCTATTTCCCAGAGGCGATATTGGATACCACCCATCCATTATAGAAACTCAACTAATAAATATGTTACCTGCAGAGAGTACTATGCCTATCGCTTTATGGTCAGGCAGGATGATGAGAATGTTATTTTAAGATCCAAACGTCTTTTTCACCAATTTATCGTCGACAGTTATGCCAAACAGGAAACGCTTCGATTAAATTTTATACGTAATAATCAATCCAAATTACGCGCCGAACTCTATCAAGGCATACATGATGCTATTTTAGAGGGAGATACTAATGCTGACAATCTTGGCAGAAGAATAATTTTGCCTTCTTCTTTTACCGGTGGCCCAAGGCATATGCAACAGCTTTATCAGGACGCAATGGCTATTGTACGCTGCTTTGGTAAACCATCATTATTCATTTCTTTCACCTGCAACCCTAAATGGGATGAAATAATGCGTGAATTATTTCCTCATCAGACCCCAAACGACCGCCCAGATTTAGTTTGTCGCGTTTTTCGTCAAAAATTAAAATGTCTAAAAAAGGATTTGCTCTATTATCATGTTCTTGGCAGAGTAATCGCTTATATAGATGTCATAGAATTCCAGAAAAGAGGTTTGCCTCATTGTCATATGTGCCTTATACTAGATAACAAAATAACTGAGCCTAAGCTGTTTCAAATTATTAGCAATTTTAATACACATGGGCCATGTGGTATAACATCCTAATAGTCCCTGCATGATTGATGGAAAATGCTCAAAAAATATCCTAAATCATTTGTGGATACCTCTTCTATTGATAAGTATGGTTATCCTTTATATCGGCGACGAAATGATGGCGTTACCTTCCAAAAAAAATTAAACGGATTTATATTTAACAACCGTTGGATTATTCCTTATAATAAACATTTATCAAAAAAATATAATGCACATATGTAGAAATTTGTTCTTCTGTCCAGTCCATAAAATACCTTTATAAGTATTGTTACAAAGGCCATGACAGAACTACTTCCATTAATAATGTTGATGAAACTACCCAGTTCATTGATGCTCGATATATATCCGCCATAGAATCGCTATGGCGTACTCTGGATTTTGAAATGCAGGATCATTCTCCTGCAGTCTATCGTTTAGACCTTCATCTCCCCAATCAACGAGCTAGGCTTGAGAATTTTTTTTAAAAAATTATAAGGTCTTGGACGCTTGGAAATTTTACAAAGAATTTTGGTATTGGGTACAAGCTCATTTAAATATATTTTGACTCAAATAATAGCTTCCACTCTTAGTCCTAATGGGTTGGACTCAATGACATTGCTTGGACTTGACCTAAATGGGGAGGGGGGGTTTAAAAATAATATAAATTGGATATGATTTTTAAATAAAAGGTAACATCTTTCTTAAAAAAACGAATAAAATTCTCATTCTCCGTCATTTTTGACGGGAGATCTACTAATTAGCTATAAAAATCTAAAATAAATAAATTTTGGCCTAAAAATTTTATTTTCAAAAAAGCCAGGCCGGTCTTGAAAATATTTTAAAAAAAAACCCAGGTCGAAAAATTTTTTAAAAAAAAATCCGGGCCGTTCTCTGAAAATGGTACCTCTGCAGAGCTCTGTTATTCTTCTTAAAAAAGAGAATGTTCTCTCATTAGTTTACTAATGGGAAGAGTTGCTAATATATATAACCATTTTAATACATTGGGAATATAATCTAAAATGTGTTTGAAATAATGCAAAGAATCCATAGCATTTTTGGGACTGTATCAACCATAGTTAATCTTTTAATCATAGTTATTCAGCTAATAAGGCATCATAAGATACTTTAACATCTTCATTAAAATCTAACAAATATTTTTTTTCTATCACCATCTGAAAAAGGTTGGAAAGGCTTTTGAGGAAGTAATATCTGCGGATTTGTAAGTGCTGCTTGATGAATTAAAAACCATTCATTTATTTGGGTTATAAATGTATCTAAGAGAGGGAACATTTGTTTTATAATACTCTTCTACTGATCCTATAATAAGGTTTTGATGATGAGCTTGCTTGCTACAAGTCGAGGGAGACAAATTTTAAACACGTATAGCTCTGCTTTTGACTCAACAATAACATATAAAATATGTTCTTCATCAACATTAGCTCTAAATTCCTTGAGTTCAATGCTCTCCGCTATTCTCATCTTCTTAATCAAGTCAATGTCATGTTTTTGAAAAGTATTACATAAAATAGTTGTATAATTAAATAATACATTCTAATGAGAAAAAAATTTGGAATAAGTATTGAATCCAATAATTTTCATGCTTCTGAGGAAATATTTCTTTCAAGCCATTGTGTTATTTAAGTAATAGCATTAATAATTGGCTCTTCTAACTCCATAAAAGCTGTTATGCTTGATGGCGGAGACTCGATCTCGTTGGACAAACTTGCAATCTTTCTTCCTGTTGGACAAGGAGTTTGATAGATAATTATTATTTAACTAGAAATTTAGATAAATAATACGCCACTAAAATTTGATAATAATAGGTAAATTACGCCAAGAAAAACTTGAAATCGAAATTAATGATAAAATAACTTAGTAGATGAATGTGATAAATAAATGTATTAAATATATATATGAGATAGGAATAAATATTAACAAATATTAATTAACATTAACAATAATATTTTTGAAAAATATAATCCGACATCTGCATTTTTTGGCCTTGGGGGGGGGGGGGGATTTGTGCTCCTGCCCCCTCCCGCTGCGTACGCGCAATACATATATATTAAATAAGTTTTTTTTACCATAAAACCATTACCATCTTATACATCATCATATATATACTAGAACTAACTCATATATTATAGATATTCTTACTATTTAATAGGTATATATTTTTAAATTTTAATAACATATCAGCCCCAGGAGAAAGCCAGACGGAGACAGAAACTTTATCGAAGCAAGAAAAGGCAAGAAAGATTGCATCAACATCAAAGTGTAGTAGTACTGATAATCAAGATCAGTGTAATATTGCTTCAACATACTTAATAGTAAATTTTATAGACTCTTTATTTTTTATTATATAAACTGTTTAAAAGTCTGTCCTGATAAAAAAAAACCAAGAAAATTTCTTAGGATTATATTTTTAAATACTTAATATTTTTTTTCTGAAAAACCATTTCATAGAAAATTTAAAAATTGTTGCCCTGAAGGTCCTGTTTTATTGCCTTCTCTACATATATAATTAATACAATATATTAACTAAGTTTTTTTAAGGATATCTGATAAGCAATGAGATAGACAATCTTTATTATAACATACAATAGTTCCTTGGATTTTTCTTCTTTTGGGGTTAAAAATGATAATTTACAAAATTGAGTTATGCATAACTTTTTAGTGTATATAAGTTAAAATTCAAACTATTTTTTTTTTTTTAAATCTTAATTATTTTTTTATTATTCATTTATCTTTAAAACATGTAAACAAATATAAAAATAAAAAATGAATATATATATATTAAAAGTGAATGTATATTTTAAAACTATCGATGGCTCTAAAAAGAGCTTAGAGTAAAAATTTTCCTAAAAAACAGGTATAATTATGTTTAAAAATTTATAATTGGAGTTTTTGTTTAAGAAAAATTGATTCGTGTTTTTCGTTTGTAATGTTAAAAATTTTACTTGCTAAAATTTTTTAAAAAAATATGTTGATTGTGAGAAATTGCCATTAGTTGAAATGACTATGGGTTGAAAAATAAAGTTATTTAGTATTGAGTATTTATTAATTTTTTTATTTTCCCCGCTAGTAAGAGGGTTTAAATTAATTGATAAGGGAAAGGAAGAGACGCAGTTTGCGTCCCATATTAGGGATTTCTCATTGGACCATGGGGTGCAGGTTAAACCGTCAGGTCTGAGACCATCTTGTAAAGAGAGGTTTGTTGGTTCTAGGATGTTAGGTATTTTAGCCTTATTAAGAGCGTTATGGATGATTTTATTTATAACTTTATGCCGGAGGTGGCGACCTTGGCTGCGGGAGCAGTGTAGGCCGTGTCTTGCGTTTTGTTGAACGGGTAGGTTGCAAAGGTGGCAAGTGTGTGAATGTGTAAGCGAGCATCCAAGTCTAATATGGTAACTCTCAGTTGGTCATTGGTTAAGAGATTATCAAGGGTTAGGCTTGGAAGTGCCTCGAGCCATTCATGCCCGCCGTATTTATCGTTTAGTTGAAAAAGTTGTATATCGCTGATATCGGAAGGGTTAAGACTATTTTGTAGTTTCTTTATAAGGGGTTCCAAGATTGATTTATTAGAAATTTCGATTGGGAATGTTTGACCGTCTGGGGTTAGTAGTTTCCATCTTTCGATTGCTACTGTTAAGAGATCGTCATTGGGGGTAATGAAAGATGAGATCGCGGAATTGAGCGAAAGGCGATTAGAGATAAAAAGAAATAGGGAAAGTAATTCTAAGGGGATCAGGTCGATACCACCAAGTTTAGCGGGTAATTGAGCAAGGTGCCAGTTAAAGTCTGATAATGGAAGATTAAGGATCCTTTCCAAGGTCTTTAAGCGAATATTGTGTTGGGTGAAAAATCCTGAGGAGGTGAATGAGGAGGATGAGTGGAAGAGGTGCGAGATTTTAGGTAAATATAGGCACTTTTTTTAATAGATAAAAAAGTTGGTGCGATGGTATATGATTGATGAACTTTTCCAAGTTTTACAACTCGGAGAAGGTTTTATCGATAGCTTTTTCCGAAATTTTATTATTAAGTAGAGGGGAGCTCAAGAGTTGGATATCTTCGATTTCGATAATATTGTAATCTTTAAATGAGTCTTGGGGAATCTCGGGGTTGAGTAAGCAAATTTCTGTTTTGGTTTTGTTTAATTCTAGGCCTATTTTGGGGCTTTCTCTTTCGAGGTGGTAGAAGGCTTTGCTTATTTGATGTTGGTTACCGCATAGTGTGCCATCGTCTGCGTACCATAGATCAAGGTCTAGTTCAAAATCAGATTTGAGACCTTTCATCATATTACTAAGCAGAAATAGGGCCAAGGGGGTCGCCCTGTTGAACATTCTCTTCGGAGTATATAGTGCAACCATTGAAAACGAGGGGAGTGCTATTGGTATAGCAGATGTCAACGATGCGCGAGTATTGGAGGAAATTGTCGTAAAAGGATTCGAGTGCCGATATACAGTATTGAAGGCGTTCTTAAAATCAATTTTGCAAAGAACGGAGTTTGTAGGTGGATGTTGTAGGTAAATTCGCAGAAGTGAGAGGCTATATCTACGCTTCCTTTTGTTCCGCAGCCTAATTGGTACCGAGCAGGGAATGAGTATCGGGTTTATTTTTTTTGCGATAATTTTAGTAATCAGACGTCTGAAGAAAGAACTGATAGCAATTGGGCGGATACCTCCTTTAGGTTTTTCAAATGCAATCAAGTTAGATCCAAATATTATTTGATGAGCTAATGTGGGGATATCTCTAGTGATTATATTATTGAGGAAGGTTGTAAGTGAATTAAAAAAAACTATTTGAATTGGAAGATTTTAGAAATGTTTGGAAGTAGGAAGGTCTATAGCCATTAGGACCTGCTGCTAAAAATTTATTAAATTCGCTTATAGTGTTGCGTATATCTTGGTTTGATATTGTGAGAGGAGGGATATTGGGCGGAGGGTTTGGTAAGCTAGTATAACAAGCTCGTGGATGAAGAGATTTTAAGTTTTCAATAGTTTTGTTTGTGAGGTGACTAATTTTAGGGCACC